TATATACACCCTAGTGAATACTTATTAGATTTATTGGTGAAGTAGTGTGAATACTTATCAAAGGGTAATGGGAGGCATCCCCTTTAGTCGTGTGTTTGTTAAATGGTATTACTTAAGGGAAAATTTTTGAAATGTCATATGAACTTGTACACCTTTTTGAATTTGTCATATAAACTAAAACTTTAAGCAATTTGTCATACGAACTTTCCGAAATCATCAATTTATCATCTCACCCTAACTTTGTTAAGTTTTCCATCCAAAATAAGTCATGTGCAAGGCATATGACTTGTGTTCAAGGTTATTTCTGTCATTTAAGATCTTTTTACAAGTTCTTTAGTTTTCTTTAGTAAAACCCTTAAATTTTGTGTTCGAGGGTATTCATATGGATCGTTGTGTTCGAGCAGCGTATATGCATCTACAACTCCATTTTTAGCACCAAACCTCAACTCGTTTCTCATATTACAGGGCCCATATAAAATATGATTTCATGACATGCTAAACTGAACACAATTGAATTGTTTTGATTGAATGCAACTTAATAGAAGGAAGTGAGGTGTTAAAATGATAGAAATAACCCTGAACACAAGTCACGTGCCTCACACATGACTTATTTTGGATGGAATACTCAACGGAGTTAAGGTGAGATGACAAATTGCTTAAAATTTTAGTTGGTATGACAAATTGAAAAATAGGTACAAGTTCATATGAAATTTCAAAATTTCCTATTATGTACATTTTCTGTTATTGCTCCAACTATAAGAACAAAGTTAAGTTTTGCTAAAATTGTTGCCGACTATAACAAGTAAAGATGAGCATTATGCATTCACATGCTATGAGAGACTTTCTCTCTGCTTAGGAGATGTTCTCACCGACTGTGTGAGTAGTTTTCTTTTTCGTCCATTTTCGGAGTCGTCGACCCTAGCCATAGCTGGGGTCGGTGGCAGTTTCTTTCTTTTTCTGGTTGCTTTCTCCTTTCTGTCTTTCTGCTGCTTTTTTCCCCTTCTCTCAATCCCGATCTTGTTTGTTCTTCACGATCCATCGGTGTCCCTTTTCCTGTATCATCTTCACCTTGATCTGTAGCCACTGCTAATCACTATTCGTTGCGATTCTTTGAGTTGGTGTGTAGAGGTCCGGTGTTCTCACTGGCTCGGGTGTTCACAACACCATCATCTTCTGTCTATCTGCCCTTATTGGCAACGTTACTTGTGGACTTCCACGGGCTTCATGGTTGGTTTTTTCCAGTTTGTGGATGTGATCGAAGAGCTGTTCTTGGTTGGAAGTTGCAATTGGCGAGGAGATGCTAGGTTGGGAGTGTGAGATCCAGTGGGTCAAGATGCGTTGACGTGGAGGTGGTTGCAGCAATAGCAGATGTCTCGGGTTTCTCTTCGTTTCTGTTTAGTCTGGGCTCAACTCTTGTTTGTTAGTAATAAAGTTTTCATCCGGGTCTGTGACCTAGATCCGGGATGTTTACCCAAAAAAAAAAAAAAAAAAAAAAAAAAAAAAAAATGAAAGGGGAATTCTTGACCAAGAAAGTATAGGCAAATCAAATTAAGTGGAAGTGTTTTTGTTTTCCTAGCAGAAAGTGTATTGTGACATTGATGCCTCAAAGAGCCAAAGATTTAAAGAGATAAGGAGACAAGTAACTAAATCTTTGTTTTGTTTCTACATCTGATTTCCATTTTTGGGCATTTTTTAATTGAGGTTTCTAGGGTTTCTTGAAATCCACTTCTATCTGATCTGATTTGGGAACATGGAAATTTTGGGTTCACAGCAATCCAAATTGGTCCACCTTGGTGAACGTAAAAAAAAAAAACAGGAAAAAGATGTTGTGAAATCGCGAATTGGCCAGACAATCACGGATTAAGAAAGCATAATCAAATGGATGGTTTGACGAGTGAGATTAACTGATTGGAGATGTTGAACACTCAAGTTTGATATAAACTGGATGCTAGGGAGCTCAACTATACAATGCGATAGAGTTTGTGAGGACTTAATGATCGATTGCTTGCGGTCGTTAAACTCCTTAATATCTTTGAAGAGGGTCAGAAACAAAGGACGGTGGGATGGGATTGTAGTGGGTGTCGAAGAGAGAGGGGGAACCTTAGGACTTAAGCCAGTACAAATAGAAGGGTCCCCTGCAAATGCTAACAAACCAACAAGGTATTCTACCCTATTCATGATCAGTTGTTGCATCTAGGGTCAGTAAATGCCTCTTGATATCTAGACACTCCTTGACTTTTATGGCTACTCCAGGTCCTTGGCATGAATATGCTTTAGATTTAATTGTTTTTAGTTGTATGTTTATGATTGTCATGGTTAACATCCTCTGTAAATTAGTAAATTTTGGCGACTAAGGTCAAAGTTCAAATCCAAAGAAACTATGAAGAATAAATATATTTATTTATCATATGAGCCTCTGTGTGTTACTAAAAATTGAATAATTTGAAAATATGTTATATATTGGATTGTTAATCAATGAAGAAGCTTTATGTCCGGATCTCTCTTACTAAATTTTAGGAATCTGGAGATTCGGACTCTTGAAATTTGATCCAACGGTTACAAATAGGGGATCACTTTAAAAGTTATAATAATTGTAGCCATTGAATCAAATTTTGAGAGTCCGGATCTTTGGATCCCTAGGACTTGGTGGGAGAGATCCCGATGAGATCTCTTCCCATGGAAAAGGATCCTTGCCAGATCATTTTCCTGAGGATCCAGGGGATTCCGTAATCATGTCCGTTTATCGTACATCGTGCAGTCAATTTTTATTAGGTATTATTTATATTTAATTTTAAATAATTTCTGATCGTACAATGTACGATAAATGAATATGATTACGGGATATTCGGATCCCCAGGAAAGGATCCTTTTCCATGGGATATGATCATGGTCCCATGTCTTGGCTGGGGGGCTTCAGACCTTGTTCAATTCTTTGGCTTTTTATATGTGTATTTAAATGCTCCCTTGTCTCCCTGTACCAAGGTTACTTTTTCATGCCAGCAGGTCTCTTTTCGGATATTCCTTGGAAGAAATTTAAAAATTTGTAAATCGTATCCGTTTATCCTATATTATACAATTAATTTTTATCAGATATTATTAGTGTTTAATTTTAAATAAATTTTTTTTAAATAATTATTGACTGTACAATGTACGATAAATGAACACAATTCACAAATCTTTGAATTCTTAGATAGAGAATCCAACAAAGATACGGATTCTTTTTTATGCATGCCATTGCCAAGCCAAGCACGTACTTAATACATCGCGCATCACAAGTTTGACTCGAGAGAGAGAAATTAAACCACGTCTTGACGTCATTTCTTAGGCCATCTTCAACCGAAGGATACAGAGGGCCAGATATCCGAAAATAGTCCGAAAACCGTCTCCAACCGAAGGTTAGGCTAAAGGGTTCGTAGGCCCCACGAAATCTGAAAGGGCCAAAGGGCCAACCAGCTGGCCTAATCCAACCAGCCAGCCAACCCTCGGGCTGGGCCAGAAAATCTAGCATTCCTGTCGGATATAACCAACATGAATAAATATATTCCTGTCAGTTATATCTGACATGAATTCTAAGCCAAATTTCAAATGCAACGGCTAGCTGACGTCAGCTAGCCGTTATTTTTGAAATATATTTTTTTTACAGTTTTATTTATTTAATTTTTTTTTTACACAATTTTTTTCCTATAACTTTTTTTCCCCCTATAACTTCTATTTTACTAAATTCATTTTATATTTTTTTCTAAATTATATATATTTTTTCCTATAACTTCTATTTTACAAAATTTGTTGCATATATTTTTTAAATTCTATTTTTTTTCCCTATAACTTCTTAAGCTATTATACAATATTAAATTAAATTAAGTAACATGAAACAACATTAAACAATATGAAACAACATTAAATAACATTGACCAACATATAACTTCAATTTTACAATTTTTTTTTTTATTTAAGTTTTAGTTTTTAAATAATAAATTATACTTGGCCCTATGACCCGTTGACCTTCTGTTGGAGATGGTTTTTTGTGATAGAACTAAAACGAGCCTTATGACCCTTTGGCCCTCGATTGGAAATGGAGATAAATATGGCTCCATACTATTCATTAAAATATTAATATCTTGAAGGACCGGATGATTAAAACAAGCTTTCTAGCCAACCTTCGGTTTGAGATAGGCTTAGAAAGACGGAGGAATAATTGGCGACATCTGCATTTTCTAATTTGTAGAAAGAAAAAAAGAGAAATGCTAACGGGGCTCGCCTAAACTTGCTTCGACGTGTCAATTGACACTGTAAATGCATTAAAACTTGGGTCCATTTCGAAACAATAAAATCAAGGATTTTGTTTCCTAGTTTACCCCCTCTGTTCCGTGCATTAACGCCACCGAAAGAGAATCCAAAAGTCACACTTCCCATCCTTATCCGTCATCTGGAAATCGCCTCAAACAGTCCACCGTAGAATTGAAGCCCACCATTTTTATGGTGGCCGAAGGTGAACTCTCATTGTTTGAAAATCTGAATTTTTATTTCTAATCTCCAATATTGAATGAAGAAAACATGCAAAAAGAAAACAAAAGAAAAGTTGTTTTGAAAGGTCCTGAATCTTCCTGATGAACACAATTTCATGGATAATGACTACCATGAAATTCAAGACCATGAGAGAAGAGCTCTGAGCTAAAGAGTTCTTGTGCTTCAACATATGCACAAATCCCAAGGAGCAAGGGGTAAAAATTTAAACTTGAAATTGAAGGAAAGAAGACTTCTGGGTCGTCTTCAATGATAGCTTCATCTAAAAAAAAACTTTGGGCCGTAAAAAATGGTGGATTTTGGGGATCCATGGTGGTGGATGAATGATTGGGGATGGTTTCTACACAAGAAAGGATGAACCGGCAACTGCTTGGTTACTGTGGAGAAGGGTAAAATAGGAAACAAATCATTATGTTCTTAGTCTTTCCAAATGGAAGCAAGTCTGAAGAGACTCACATTTTAGGCGAGCCCCGCTATCATTTCTCAAGAAAAAATGAAAAGAGTCAGCCATCCCTCTCAAAATTGAAAACTGCTGCTTGTCCTTTTCTGCTTTACGACCTCGCTTACGCATTCCCATTGCCATTCCCTCTCTTTCCGACCTCGCTTACGCATTCGCATAGGCTTTGCCGCTTTGCAGCCACTTGCACTTGCCACACAATTTCCTCTCTTTTCTTTCCTAATTTCCTCTCTATTTATTGTAGGCCATCCTTTATCCTCCACTAGTTCTCCTCACATCGTTTTATCTCTTTCTCTCTCTCTCTCATCTGGCTCAGTGCCTTGTCTTCGCTTAGCATTGTGGAAAACATAAGATAATATAATGGGTGGATGTTTGTCCATAGTCGTCGTCACGAGGAGTAGTTCTAGTGGAAGAGATGATGATGATTCCTCGTCCACTGCCAAAGTAATCTACATGAACGGATTTATCCGCGACTATCCAGTTCCCCTTAAAGTCTCCAAAGTCCTTGAGGCCGACCGATCATCGTCTTCGTCTTCGTCTTCGTTTATATGCCATTCCGACCGTTTGTACTACGACAATTACATCCCGGCTTTAGATTCCGAAGATGAGCTGGAGGCCAATCAGATCTATTTCGTACTCCCCAGATCCAATCTTCAACGCCGCCTCAGTGCCACCGATATGGCGGCCTTGGCAGTCAGAGCCACCCTCGCCCTCCAGAAAATTAATATCAATGCTTCTCCTTCTTCCTCCTCCTCCTCCAAGAAGGAAAAGGGAAATAAGGGAGGTGGACGCCGTAATTACAACAAGGCCCGCATTTCTCCGGTAATTGAGATGACTAATGATAAATATGAAAACTCGTTGGCCGAGGACGACGGAGGTTATTTGAGCATGAATGAATTAACGATTGGAGGTGGAGGGTCATCAGCGTATAAAGGCCAAAAGATGAGTAGTAGCGCCCGCGGCGGTGGGTCATCGTCGGCAAGGAAATTGCAGAGATACACATCGAGAAAGGCAAAGTTGGCCGCTCGTTCTTTTAGGCTCAGATTGTTAACCATTCACGAAGGCTCCGTCCTCTGATCAATTCTCTACGATTAAGTTTCACCATCGCCAATTTCTTTTGGTTTTGTAAGGGGGCGTTTGTTTGCCCTCACTAGGTTGGACTGGACTGGACTAGCTATTAGTCCAATACTGTGTTTGTTCCATGCTGGGACTAACATTAATGAGACTAAAGGGGACTAGCATGGACAAAACCCTTCACTAAGAGGTCTTAGCGAGACCCCCGAATAACCATAGGACTAGCTAAGACTATCCTCTCTTTCTCATCTTCGTCATGTTCAACGACCACTCCCGACAAACTCCTCATCATCTCCGGTCACCTGGATCAATCATTAACTTTCCGACTCTCTTTCAAATCCATTTCACAACCAACTTTCATATAAAATATACCAAATTGAAGCTGGGAGTGACAAGATTACGATTTTACCTGAATTGAGGCCAAAATGTGGTCGAATGTGGCCGGAAAATGGCCTGGAAGTCTCGGCCTATTTGGGCTTCTTCAAATCCATGACAGATTCGAGCATTCAAAGCTAAGATCTTAGTCTAGGGATGGTGATGAATTTTTTGGCGGTGCTAACTTCATCCAATTTAACAAGGGTTGGTCGGAAAACACATCGGGAAACCTGCAACTCATCAGGAAAATTGGAGCCGTGAGGTTTTATTCGAACAACGCATAGCTAGAGAGGGAGGGAGGATAGAGAAATAGAGACTGTAATCAATAAAGAGTTTGACCAGGAATGAGAAAGAGACATGAATTGAGAGGTCTAAGAGGAAAAAAAGAGGGAGAGGGTGGGACGATGAGAGAAGAGGAAAAGAGTGGGACGGAAATGGTAGGAAAAGATGAAGAAAAAGATAAAATCATAATAAAATATTAATAATTTATATATTAAATAATATAATATTAGAATTTGTTATTATCCAGCTTCTTAGTCCAATACTGCACCAAACGCTTCACTAAGTTAGTCCAGTTTAGTCTAGTCTAAGCCAATCCAGCTTAGTCCTTGAAGCTAATCCAGTCCGAGATAGTCCGGCGCAACAAACGCCCCCTAAATTTATAACCGTATCATTTTACTCTTCCTACATATTTGTATTATATGTTATAAGTGTAACATTATTCTTGCTTTATTCTATTACAATTATATATGCTCTTTATATATGTATATATATTTCTTGATCGGCTATGTGATCATTTTGCTCTCTCCGGAAACGGAAACAGTACAAAACCAAAGTTGTTGTCCCGTTTTTATTTTGAGGAAAGCTAGATACTTATTCCATTTACCTTTTCTTTTATGTCTTTCCCACTCAGCTGTTGATATGTGAACTTCACTTATATTTGAAACTAAAATTTTAATATTTTGAAAATACAAATCATTCTTTCCCTTTTTACCCTTATAATAAATCTAACAAACGTAAAATAATCTTCTTAAAAAATAATGAATAATTAAAATTGGGCTCGGCCACCTTTCTCTCTTAGATCTACTCAAATTTTTAGTGTAAAACTAAAATTTTAGGTTCTAAATTTATCTCAACTTGCTCTAACTCTTGGGGTAAATATGAGTTTTAACCCGAAACTCATTTTTAGTGCAAATTTAGACCAAGATTCCCTAGGTTAAAATGTAATATGATCAAATCCAACAATAAAAAAAAAGATCTAATGGTCCAAATTTAAATCTAACGGCTAAAGTAATTTAAAAGTATTATCTTATGTATTTCATATTCTTTCATAGTATTTCACGAGTTTCATGGAGTTGGTTTAGTGATTTTTCAATATTTATCGGAATCTAAATATTTTTAGGTTAAAATATTCATAAAATTAAATTAAGATAGTCTACATAATTTTTTTTTTCAAGTTACTTTAAGAAATAAATTTATTATTTAATAATCACAGACTAAAAATGTCACATCCCGCCCCAGGCCTCCACCACATCCCGGGCTCGACTTCACCGTAGCATTATATTGTCCGCTTTGGACCTCGACCATGCTTTCATGGTTTTGTTTCTGGGAACTCACACGAGAACTTCTTAGTGGGTCACTCATCATGGGATTGCTCTTGTGCGAACTCGTTTAACTTCAGAGTTCCTACGGAACCTGAAGTCAGTGAGCTCCCAAAAGGTCTCGTGCTAGGTAGAGATGAGAATATACATATAAGACTTACATAATCCACTCCCTTGGGCGATGTGGGATGTTACAAAAAATTTAACCCAAAAAAGGTTGGAGGAAATGAAGGATAAATTTGTGAAAAACAAGTTCATTTGAGTAATATCTATGCATGCAATTAACAATTAAAGATGGAATCATGCTTGTATGCACTCAAAAACAAAATTTTACCCACGAAATTCAAGGCCTAGTAGTTGTGGTGAACCAAGACTCAACTCAAATCTTAAAGAAAAGAGTTGAGAAACTTTTATACCTTTGAAGCACCTCTTTGCTTAGCAAATGATATTCACCCATATGAGGGCCTTCTTTCCTTAGTCTCCTTGCTCCTTGGTTCCATGGATATGGATGGAGGAACTTTGCTTCTTGGCTCCATGACTTAGTGGATATGGATGAAGGAATGGATTCTCCAAGTTCCCAAGAAAGGGAACCTCTAAGTTTCCACACCAAGGAGAGCATTGAGGAAGAGATGAGTGACCTAGGAAGAAATGGATACAAGTCCATTCTTCCTAGGGTGGCAGGCCTCCTAAGAGAAGAGAGAGCTTTTGTGTTTTTCTCTTTTCTCTCTAGAAAACCTTTATGAGGGAATGGGTTATAATTTTCTTTTTATAGCCACTTACATTGAGTGGCATAATTGAAATTAAAATCAATTCTTTCTTGCACTCTCTGTGGCCAGCCATGTGGGTTTATTAGGCTTTCATGCCCTTTGTATTTTCAAGTTGTCATGCAATTTGAGTTATTGGACTTGACATTCGAAGCCCATTGGGCCTTGAGGCCCAAAACTAACTCGAGGTCTAAAATGAACTTATTCGTTTGATTAATTAACATATTAATTAATCCTAGCCATAAATAATTAAACCATTTAATTATCCTTACTCATGTCCATTGTTTCTTCAATCTCTACCTTACACTACTACAAAAGAAGCTATCATTGGCGGTGTAAAAATCGACAAGAAACCCCAATTATTGTCGGATTTTTACCAAAAATCTGACATAAAATCATGCAATGTCGGATAGGGAAACCGACACCATTGCTAGCGTCACGAAAAAGGTATTGATGTCGGTTAGTCCCCTTAATCTGCCACCAAGAAGCAAAGTAATATAAAATAAAATAAAATAACAGAGTCGCTTAAAAGTGATCAAACCTTACGTCGGTTAGAAGCGACATTAAATTTTGACATGATGTCGATTCTAACCGACATCAACTAACAACTAAACTATTAAAATAAAAACTTACTATCGGCCTTAACCAATGCCACAAGCCAATAATAAAAAGAAAATAAAAGTCTGTCTTGATTCCTCAGTCGGCTTTCAATTCCTCCGTCGACGACCTCCATTACTGTTCTTGGCCACTACTTAGTTCCCCCTCCTCCATTTCGTGCTGCCCGCTGATCAAGAAGGATCATAGACAACATGAGTTCTTCCTCCTCTATAGCCACTTCTACAACCATGTCTCTAGAGATGCTGCCTTCCGAAAGAGTGTCCTATCAAGTGGGATCATAAACAACATTAAGTTAAAGCAGCTCGGGCTTTCGTACTTAACAAGATTAAATGGGGAGAGTTCTCAAAGTGTGACAAAAATCGTGTTACCTCTGGCTCCGTTACAAGATTTATGGTTGGAGGTTCGTTTCTCAACTCACTGGTCTTATAATCTTGTAGTTGATACCAGACTTATTGATATAATTCTCTGCCTGAAGCTTTGCTATTAAAGTGAGCCCAAAAACATTGAGGAAAGCTGGGTTGAGAATCTGCCCCACTGCTGCTCCATTGATCAATTTTGGGAGAGATAAAGGGAGAGAAGGGGAGAAGAACTAGAGCGACACGGTGAAGGGATGGTCGCCGCCGCTGCAGTGAGGCTGAGGAGGAGAGCGCATGGAGGTTGTGTTGGGGTTGATTTGTTGGGTTGCTGATGCTATTGCATAAGGAGAGTGGGAGGTTTTTGAGTGCGCATCATGAGGGGAAGAAATTTGTGGTGGTGGTGAGGTGAGGAGTAATGGATGGAGAGAGGCGATGAGTGGAGAGAAGATAGAAAAATGAGAGAGATATAAAGTAATAGGAAATGAAGGATTTCACTTAAATTTTGAGAATTGCGGGAGTACAGTGAATTTCAAAGAATGGGGGGAGGGGGGGGAATATCCCACCCAATATTGCCGCCCAAAATTTTGTCATGGAGATACGTATTTAAAAAAAATAAAAACACCAACTTGTAGGGTAGAAGCGACACCAATTTCTTTTTAACTGACACCAAGTTTTAATATTAAATAATTTAAAATCTATGTCGGCTACAACCGACACCAGATTTTAATATATAAAAAAATTTAAACTCTATGTCGAATTCAACCGACACGGAGTTTTAATATTAAAAACTTTAAAACCTACGTTGGAGTATGGGTTTTAATATTTAAAATTTTCAAAATCTTTGTCGACTACAACTGACACCGATTTTAAATTTGGGTTTAATATTTAAAAACTTTAAAGTCTATGTCAGTTACAACTGACACTTGGTTTTAATATTTAAAAAATTTAAAATTTATGTTGGTTACAACCGACACCATCTTGGAAAATATTTAAAAACAGTCATTAAAGTGTTTATGTCGGTTATAGTTGACAGTAATTTCGACACAATAGTAACAAGGTGTCGGAAATGTCCTATCCGCCAGTATGTTATGTTAAACCAACACCAACCACCGACACAATAAGCCGGTTTTGTAGTAGTGTTACACAATGTACAATCCATTAGGTTCCTTTTAGCAAGGCAGTGGACGATTAGAACTCTTCAAATCGATTGTGAATTGAAACTTACTTTTCAATTCTCCTTTTAGTGATTATGTACCTTTAGGGCTTCCATAAACCATGAGTGACACCTAGCAGTATGTCATGGCTACCCAAGCTAATCAGAAGAGGTGGAGAACCTATTGAGTTTGGGATTACAATGCAATACTGTCTTTCTCTAATACAATACTCTTAACCACATTGTTTGATTTGATAGTTTATTCATGTCTACTATCCAATGTGATTCTCTTACTTATATGATGACCTTGAATGTGATTTGGAACGAATTCCTAAATCTCATTCATACTCTGGCCATAGATTCTTAATCATATCATAGAATATTCTCCCTCAAACGATTTGAAGGTTAAAGATCCCTTGTTGTGCATTCACTTGCATCCATGGCTAAATGGCTTAACCTCAACTATGCCATGGACACCCTTTGACGGAGTGACTTTGACATAGTTAAAGATCAAGGACCTAACCATAAGACAACTATGATGCCTCAGGTCAAAAGACGACTTTGCATTATCCCAACCATGAGTTTTCATGTGACATGAGTAGGAGATCTCTTTGTTGATTGCGTTTAGTGGACTTATTCTCTATTGAGCACCTACATACTTGTCTTGGTGTCAGTCGCACCAATGACTCGAGACCAATCACTCTCTCTAAGAGAAGACATATCACGTACTGATCTTAATGGACTGTCAATGCCCAATTGGCAATCATATGATCAGGAATGTTTAGGATCTGTATACAAAAGAGAATGGTCTCATGAATCTAACTTCTTTAGATCATATTCTCCTAATTACATATTCCTTGGACTTATCGTTTAAACATATAACATTTATATCAGATAACTTTAAACAATAATCTTTGCCCTTTATATTAAACTAGATTAGTTTAACATGTGAAATGTTCGTAAAGTATTATCATATGATTGGCTTTAGGGCACATTTCCAACAATCTCACATTTGCACTAGAGCCAATCAGCTTGGTCATCATTGATGATACCTGTTCTGAATTCATTTCAAAAATGGCTGAGTAGTAGACCTAGACAATGGATATCTATATGTTATCCATAGAAGCAACCTTAAGAATAACGACGTCACCATTATACATGATTCTCAATCATGTGGTTCAGTCTCTCATTTAAGTTTGGATCTTGACGAGACCTTAATTCCCTGGCTTGGGTAC